AATCTATAAAATACACAATGATAGGGGGGATTTCAGTTTTCATCCCTCAAGTTGCACTAGTTTCACATTTGGTCCACATGTTCATAAAAAACACATTTGGTCCCTAATGTTTAAAAATTTAACAATTTTTGTCATTTCCGTTACTTCGTCAGTTAAGTTAGTCACGGACACACGCTTGATTCCGTTAGTTCTAATGGAAAATTGACGGAAATGACTAAAAGTGTAGAATTTTTGAAACATAAGGGACCAATTTTATTTTATTTTTGTGAACATGGGGAAGAAATGTGAAATTAGTACAAACTTGAGAGAGTAAAAATGTATTTTTCCCCACAATGATACAATATCGATATGTAATAAATGTTGTAAATGTCGACTTTAACCTCATTCTTTCATTTGCAGAGCAACAACACAAAAGTTGATATTTGGGCAGACAGCATCTCACTGCAACCATTCACTCACCAAGAATGGAAATCCCACCAACAACAAAACATTGAGAAGGTGAATTCTTTTGCAAAATGAAAAAAGAAAAATTGAAATTAAATTTCACAAATCTTTAATTCAATATTATATAAATTTAAAGGACAATTGCAGTTTCCACCCTTCAAGTTTGCACTGATTTCATAATTGGTCCCCATGTTTACAAAAAAACACATTTGGTCGCTCATATTTCAAAAATTCAACATTTTTAGTCATTTTCTTTAATTTATCGCTAGTCCGTCAGTTAAGGCAGTGATGTACACACGCTTGGTTCCGTTAGTAGTAACAAGAAATTGACGGAAATGACTAAAAATATTGAATTTTTGCAACACGAGGGACCAAATGTGAAAACGGTGCAAACTTGAGGGACGAAAGCTGTATTTTTCCCATTTGAAATTTGAATTTGTAACTCTGTATGTATACGATGCAGTTCCGGAAATCAAAGGTGAAATTCCAGGCGGTGGACAAACACGGCCAACCGATACCAAACGCCACCGTTTCAATCAAGCAGCGCCGCCCCAATTTCCCGGTCGGCTGCGCAATCAACCAAAACATCCTCCAAAACAGCGCCTACCAAAACTGGTTCACATCCAGATTCAAATACACCGTATTCGAAAACGAACTCAAATGGTACTCAAACGAGAGATCTCGTGGCTCGGAAGACTACTCCGCATCCGACGCCCTAGTCAAATTCGCCCAATCCCGCGGCGTCGCAGTCCGCGGCCACAACGTTTTCTGGGCTAACCCGGCCGACCAGCCGAATTGGGTGCCGGGACTTTCGTCGAACGACTTGTGGGCAGCTTCGAACAAGAGAATAAATTCAGTGATGGGGAGATACCGGGGGCAGCTTTTCCACTGGGATGTTATGAACGAGAATCTGCACTTCAATTTCTTCGAGACCAAGCTTGGGTGGAACGCTTCCACTATATTCTACGGGAAGGCGAATGCGATTGACGGGAAAACGACGCCGTTTTTGAACGAGTACAATACTATTGAAGAGAGCGGCGATGGGACTTCGTCGCCGTCCAAGTATTTGCAGAAGATTTCGGAGATGAGGAAGAACGGGTATAATGGTCCTTTGGGTATTGGTGCACAAGGGCATTTTACGAATGCGAATCTGCCATATTTGAGATCCGCCATTGATCAGCTTGCTTCTGCCAAATTGCCCATTTGGGTTACTGAATTGGATGTTAAATCCGGCCCGAATCAGGTAATGCATGTCTTTTTTCAATTTAAAATCTACAAATATTTATTGGCCTTAACTTTGCATTTGATTTCCACATTTAGTCCCTCGTGTTCACAAAAATCACATTTGGTTCACCATGTTTCAAAAATTCAACACTTTTAGTCTTTTCCGTCAATTTTTTGTTAGTACAAACGAAATCGAGCTTGTGCCCGTCATTACCGTAAGTGACGAACTAACGGTAAATTGACGGAAGGACCAAAAATGTTAAATTATTGAAACATGAACCAAATGTGTTTTTTCGTGAACATGAGAACTAAATGTGAAATTAGTGCAAATTTAAGGGGTGATAACTGTAATTTTCCCAATATTTATTTATTTGTGTTATTGTTTGGGATACGTAGGGATGAAAATTGGAATGGAGATTCCGAGTTCCCCACCCAGTCCAAAAAATTCCGATTTTAGTAATTTCGAATTACGAAAATATTTTCAAACGCTAATGGAAATCCCGAGTTCTGCCGATTTCGACAAAAAAAATTCTAAAATTACGGAACAAATATTTTCACTATGATTTTCGATTTTTTTCCAAACGAAATTGGAATTAGTTTTTAACATCAAAAAAAATATTTTTTTTCCTATAGTGTCGATTCCCATCCGCTCCTTCCGATTTCTACCACTTGGAATATCCCTAATATTTAAGGAGTTTTAATCATATTCTGAATTATTATATTTTAATTTATACTAATTTAATTTAAGTCTACAATCATTAACGTTTTCTTTTGCATTATTATATTACGAACGACTTGATAAGAAATTCGAGATCCATGCCCCTTATTATCTTTAATAGAAGAAGGTGAGATGTTTAAGGGTTAGAAAATCCGGTTTTCCGCTCAACCTTACAAAAATTCTTTCCATGAGTTTAATTTGGAAAAGATTACACGGTCGAATCTCTAGCTAATCGGCTTAATCGTGACCGTTGATCTCCAACAACAATCACAAAACCGTGGCCATTCAAAAATTTCAAAAAAAAGTCCACTTGCGTAAACCGCCATCCTTAACCGTGTCATTTATACCCGGAATGGCTAAACAGTTAAAGTCAACAACCGTTGACCTAGTTAACCATCCCGATAATCTCGTTGGGAAAATTTTAACCACCGTTAGGTCAAGACACTAACAATAAGTTTCTAATAATAGTAATAAACGTGTGTTTGTTTGGACAGGCATCTTACTTGGAGAAGATACTATGGGAGATTCATTCACACTCGGCTGTACAAGGCATTATAATTTGGTCTGCATGGAGTCCTAACGGATGCTACGTTATGTGTTTGACCGATAATAATTTCCGAAACTTGGCGACCGGAAATATCGTCGACAAGGTTATGAATCAATGGACCCACGCAGCTGATTTGCCGGGCCCCACAGATTCCAACGGCATCTTCGAAACTTCACTATACCATGGTGAATACGAAGTCAAAATCAATCACCCTAATGGAGACGCAGTTTCTAATTTGCATGAAATTAATCTCCTACCGAACGACGAAGCTCAAGATACTTATCGTATTACGATAAACGTGTAGATCAGTCGGAGTTAGAAAAAAAAATCGATAATGTTTTAATTTTAAACATCTACAGAATAATACAAAATTAGCAGAATATTTACAACTTTGACATTAATTTCTTCTTTGTTCTTTTTTTTCTCTTTTTTTGGCAACCAAAATACAATATATAGATACATAATATATGTATTCGAGAAATCGAAACAGTGCGAATTACTTGGTTTTATTCTTCTTAGTAGTCTTGAATCTTGAACACCACTTGAGCATGAGTTCGTCGAGATTAGCGTTCATTCTTGTACCGACGCCTCCCCAAACGAGCATGTGGCTAAAATCACCGAAGGATGAACCGGTCACCTCGTACACTTCCTCGAACCCAATTTTCTTGTAAAATCTCACAAGCTGCAATTACATATATATATCATCACAAAACTAAATCATAACCAAGCTTATTTCTTCATATTAAGAATGTACATAGTGCATATAGTGTTCTACTCAAATTAGACTCAACCCGATCTTAATTGGGTCTACCCCGATATTGTCGGCCATATGTAAAGGATTGATCAAGAGTCTATGAGATGATATACCCGATGAAATCCACCGGGTAATTTTACATCGCAGATCTTTACAAACAACTATCCACTGAGCACACATATACATGGGTGTGTGCGTTATTATATATTAATCAATGGTGTAGAATCATCCGATGTATTTCTCCGAATACAGCATCTACTAAACCCTGATCAAGGGACATATATATACTTTTTCAAATCAATGACTATTTGCCTTAATTTGATCCAAAATTCTCCGATCTCGTAACAACATTTTTCATTCCGGATTTCAAAAAATGCCGATTTTCCATTTTTTCATTTTTTTCGGATCGGAATCGGAATGCATATGAGATTTCCTATATTCGATCCAATTATAGTTTCCGAAAATTACACTTATAAGTCATAACATCAATTTCATTTGCATTTTATATTCTAGGGCAAATTACAGGCACCCACCCCCTCATGTTTGGGTAATTACAGTCACCCCCTCAACTATGTATTATCTTACGAAAATACCCCTCCATAGGTAAATTTAGGGATGTTAATTCACTAAACTAAACTGAAATTTCAGTACGCCAACATTTCATACCGTTTACCGAACTGAATATACGATTTGGTTCGGTAAATAACCGAATTACATAAATTTTATGTAAAAATATTTAAAAAGAGGGGTGGTTGTAATTACCAAAGCAAGAGGGGTTTTTTCGTAATTTGGCCATACATCAGGGGGTGGCCATAATTTGTCGTGTATTCTAAGTGCACGAAACGAAAAAAAAATCCACCGATTCCAATTCAAAAAACTCCGAACCCTGATTTTTTTCGGAACGAAATTGAAATTAGTTTCTCACTTGCGAAAACATTTACAATACCTTTTTATGATAGAGTTAAGAAAATGCCGATTTCCAAAATTTCAATTTTTATCCAATCGGAATCGGAATGCATACGAGATTTCCTATATTCGATCCAATTATAAATTCCGAAAACTACACTTATAACTTATAACATCAATTTCATTAGCATTTCATATGACGGTAACTGCAATGGTAATGGTATTGATATTGGTGATGGTAATTGTAACGGTAATGGTATTGGTTTTGTATTCATATTGGTACTGGCACTGGTATTCATTACTTACACAATACAAAATATATTTTTTAATTTTCTTTTACTTTTCTACTAATTTGTATTGCATATCATTGATCTTACTATTTCGAGGACTTTTTTTTAATTAAATATTTATTTTTATGATGAATACCCCGTGCAACGCACGGGTGAAGTACTAGTTTCATATGGAAAAAAAAATCCACCGATTCCGGACCCAAAAATTCCTAACTCGGATTTTTTTTCCAAACGAAATTGAAATTAGTTTTTCACTTGCGAACGAAAAAGAAAATTTAAGATACCTTATTATGATAAAGATCAGTGTCATTGATAGCAAGCAGCTCGGCTCGGCTGCAGCCGCGCTCATAGCCAAACCTAATCGCTACAGCCCCAATAAACAAACCGATCCCAAATATAGATTTCTCCATCCCGATCGTCTCCCTCTGCAATTTCATCGAATCCAAATGCAGAATTCTGCCCCCAAACCAGGCCCGTATCACCCCCTCGGCCCGGCCCACTTCCCGCCGGGTCTGCAAGCTTGTGGCTGTGATCCTGAAAAACGGGCCGAGTGTTTGGATTTGGATGTCGAGATTCTGCGCTGTGGATGCTTCCATGATTTCTGACATTGTCGGCGCGGAAATTTCGAGATTGTTTGATTTGCTGCCATGGGAATTTGGTTTGTGTTTGGATTTGAGGTGATAGGGTTTTTGAGTGATTGGGAATTGTGATTGTGTGTTTGGGGATTTAATTAGGGTTTGTTCTTGAGAATTGAAGTATGATAGTGGAGGCTTCACAGCTCTGGCTAGCTCCATGGATAAGATTACTAAGAACTGGAAAAGTTATTATTATTTTTATTTTTCTTTTATTATTATTATTTATTGGGAAAAATACAGTTTTCACCCCTTAAGTTTGAATTGATTACACATTTGGTCCTCATGTTCACTAAAAACACATTTGGTCCCTCATGTTTGCAAAATTCAACATCTTTAGTCATTTTCCGTCAATTTTCTGTTAACACTAACGGAATCAAACATGTGCCCATCACTATCGTAACTGACGGGCTAAGGGTAAATTGACGGATGTGACTAAAAATGTTGAATTTTTGAAATGTGAGGGAACAAATGAGTTTTTTAGTACTCATGAGAGACGAAATGTGAAATCATTGCAAACTTGAGAGATGAAAACAGTAAATTTCTCATTATTTAATATTAGGGTAAATTAC